CAAAGTTAAAGATCTTCTCTGCTCGCAAACTCTCCAATGGAACCGTGTAGAGATTTTAAAGTTTTTACCTCATCATGAGGAGGATATACTCAGTTTGGTTTTGAGTTCTACACATCGACCAGATAAGCTGCGATGGTTACCTGTCAAATCAGGCTCTTATTCCACAAAGTCTGGATATGCAGTGGCAAGAGGAGATCCTGCTCAAGCTCCTGCAGAGGACTTTAACTGGAAATCTAACATTTGGAAAGTAAACACCTCCCCGAAGATACGTATGTTCTTATGGAAAGCAACTAGAAAAGCTTTACCAGTCGGGACTGCTTTGTCCAGCAGAGGCATTGTAGCGGAAACGGCGCGTAAGCGATGCGGTCAGCTTGAGGACGCTGTCCACATTTTCCTGAGCTGCAGCTACGCTGCTAAGGTATGGGATCTTGCGCCAGTCCTTCACAAGCCAAGATCGGAAGACTGCCCATCGGTGAAAAAGCTCCTCGAAAAGGCCCGAGCTTCTCTGTCTCTTCCACCAGTTGGTTTGGGAACTGCTCCCCTGTTTCCCTGGATTCTTTGGTTCCTGTAGAAAGCCCGAAACTTCCTTATTTTTGAAGATCGATGTTTCACAGAAGAAGAAACTCTGCAAAAGGCGATTACAGAGGCGAAATCATGGTAGGGAGCAAAACTGCAACAACCACCTAAAAAGCAGCAGAGTAGTGCGGGGAAAAAGACAGCGACTCATGCTGAGGCTTTCCTCTGTTTTTCAGATGGGGCTTGGCAGGCTGGAACGCGTATTGGTGGAATGGGATGGTTAGTTAAGAACCCCCTGAACTCAGTTTCCCTCCAAGGATCGTCATCAAGACCCTTTGTGACTTCAGCTCTTGTGGCTGAGGCACTTGCAATGAAGGCCGGAATCAACGCAACCTTTGCTTCGGGTGTATCAAGGCTGGCCTGCTTCTCGGATTGTCAAGAACTTGTTATTCTTCTCAACTCCGAAGGCCATGCGAATGAGCTAGATGGAATCCTAGCTGATATCTCTTCTCTTAGTTGTTGTTTTGAATCTATTTCCTTTCACTTTGTTTCGAGGGTGGACAATGCTCAGGCGGATGCCTTAGCGAAATCTGCTCTCCTGTCTTGTAATCTCATTTAATTGAATGAATGTTTGCACAAAAAAAAATGTTAATATATGCATTCATTTTATACCATGTCACCTATTGAATTTGAAACCAATAAATGGAGTTATACGTTGAGTTATGCTTTGGCTATTAAATACGGAATGGCTATGGTGTGTTGTGGTCCAAAACATTCATTTCAAAAAATAAATAAATTTTGTTTGACTATTAAGTGAAAATGTCACGAGTTCAATTCAATGCCATACTCTTTAAAAAAACTTATATAGTATTAAGTATGCATGCAGATTTATGGAATTTGGAATCGTCGCACACCCATATCATGTACACATATATAAGAACACTAATTCTTATTCATTTTTTTTTACCGTAGTTTCTATGTCGAAATTTCCGACAATCGTAAAAACCGCGTAAAGATACTAAATCACAAGAAATTTACTATATCTCTTCGTTTTTACATTCGTGCATTAGATTCAAATATCTGGTTAATTGCTTACATATAAAAAGAGATCCGTGGGAGCAATCAAAAATGTGTTGTTATTCGCTAGATTGATATTTACATTTCACTGATTTTAACATAATTTTTTTGTGACCCCAACCTCTGCCCCATTCTGGTTACCTCTCTCCGTTATCAGTGAAATGTGTCAATAATCTAGCCAAATAACATTCTGATTATATATAGCATTTATATGAGCCTCGATACTTAAAGAGTGTTAGGTTGCTTAAGGGTAGATAGATCACAATATTAACATAGTATCATGTAGGTTTCATCATTGAGTGAGTGTCTTTCGAACACTTTTCTGGTGGGTAAATTAATAATAAAGATATAATTGCACCATCTTTTGGCTTCTTATTTTTAAAGCTTTAGAATCTATTCCATTCAATGCATTATTTACCCAAAATGAGGATTAGTACTTAAATATTATAATAGTGCACTCAATAATTGTGTGTTTTAAAGAAAAATTATGACTTCTGGCGCTTTCCAGTATACTTTTAAACATTGTTTTTTTTTTTTTTTCAAATATTGATTAGAAAATAAATTCGAAGTGATGGGAAAATTCTCTTTATTACGAAGTTCAAAATTAATTTTGTTGCTATCACATTTTTATGAAAGTAATCATCTATTTATATTCATGCCTTTGGATACCAAAAGTATGCATTCTTTGAAAAAAATATAGATCTATATTTTTAAAAAGGGGTTTGTTTCTTAATCCCCAAGTTAGTCGAATAACTCGTATTATTTGATGTGGAATAAAGATTAAAGACCCAAACTTTAAAGAGGAACAAATGGGGTTATAGAATATATCCTTATCGATAAAATAAAAATAAAAATACTTGGAAAAATTTTCACGCAGACAAATGCCCATTTATTGAAACCTCAAGAAATAGGGAAAATTCCCAAAAAAAACCAAAGTAATTTTTATTTAGATGTTTAATGCCTAATTATTTTTGATTGGAATAAAAGTATTTCAACTAATTATTCGTGGTCATAAAATATCTTCTATATAAACTATTAGTAGAATCAAACCCGCACGTTAACATGCATTAACAAACGTAATGGAATTAACAAACGGTGTAAAATATCAAATTGTTAATTAATATATACAATCGTTTAAAAAAGATATGCGAATATGTTGTGGTCTAGTGGTAAACGACGGGGAAGGAGAGTAAAAAAAAAAAAAAAAACAGAGATCGGCAAAAGAGAAGAAGAGGAAAAAAAAAACAATTTGACTCTACTGGAATCGAACCTGGGTCATGCAAATAGAGTAAGCCGCACTATTCCACTGGACCACGTTAAAATTATCATAAATTATAAGAGCAGATTATATATATAGATTAAGTTATATGAGAATGATATTTACCGCCGTTAGTTAGTTCTTTTACGTCCTTTAGTTGATTCTACCAATAGTTTATATACGAAGTATTTTATGATCACGAATAATTAGTTGAGGTATTTTTATTCCAATAAAAATTAATTGGGTATTAAACGTCCAAATAAAAATTATTTTAGGTTTTTTTTTGTGAATTTTCTCTCAAGAAATATATATGGTCGAAATTTATCAAACGGACATGGAAAATTTACTAGTAACAAGTATTTTTTTTTTTTTTTTTTTTTTTTTAGTAACAAGTATTAATAACAATGTTGTAAAAATTTGGTCCAAACTTGACAGCCAGAAATCGAAATATGCATTGACTACATGTATAAGATCAGATGTTGCTTAAACTTTGATTTGTTCAAATTATTTACATCATACAACGGTCTAAAATCTTCAAACGGTCTTTAAATACCAAACTTTTCACGTGACTACACGGTCCACACAAACTAATTCACGGACGTATTCACTACTGTACCGCTCGGATAAAACAATTAGTCAAAAACAATTTATTCTTTTGAATAATAACTCAAATTTATTTACTTTGATTAGAATAAAAATAACAAAACGAATAAGATTGTCATATCATTATCAAAAAGTTTCGTCCCTTGTATCTTATTTATTGTCAATGATATATTTTGGTTTTCGGAGCTATTCGTTGCAAGGAAGCCTAGAGTAACATCTACACTCATGGTAGTCCTTCTTACGCCATCTGATGTTATTACAGTCGCAACGAGCATATCTTCTTATCTCACGCGTCGCCATTTGTCCTTGGCACAATTGATTTCCATTGGCGCCACAAGTTCCAGCGTATTGATTGAAAAATTTACATATAGAAACCACATCTTGTGTTTTCACCTCTATTATTTGCAAGCAACCACCAAAAAAAGAAGTTTAATTGTAGATAAAGATTTTAGCTAAACGATTTGATGATACAAAGTTTTTAACTTTTTCACTCAGCTTTTTCGATAAAAATGAATCATATCTAAAAAAGAATTATAAATTACCTTTGACATGATTCAAAACGAGAAACATAGAAACACATAAGGCTAGAAGCGAAGTAGCAGATCTCATTATTCCAAAAATTAATAAATGGTTGTTTGTGTTAATTGCAGGAACTTCTTTTTTTTCTTAATGTGGTAATATATAATCTTATACTTTTTGTTTGTTACTCAAAATATATATAGTCGATACTCTAAAAAAAGATATATATGATAAATAATAGCGAACACCATATACAATATGTGAAAAGTAAATGTTTGGCCAAGTCAAAGAGATAAGATTAGATCGTTGGTTTATTTTTAGAAAGAAAAACACATTTTCGTTTTGTTGAACTAATTGAAGATAGGAAATTCTAGTTGAACATGGCAACATGCAATATAAATAAAAATCCATTAATTCTTTAATCCAATGATAACCAATCATAAATGAGATTTCTTTCCTTGCATATGTTTTTCTTTTCTTTCAAAATATTTTATACAGTCTGATTAATTTAATAATTTTTTTATTGAAACTGATTATGGTAAATAACATTTAATTACATATATTCTCCCTTGTGTAAGACATGAAATGTTTTTAATATTAACATGGATTATATTAGAATATTAAGCCTGTGTTTTATTTTATTTAACTTCGTTAAAGAAAACAACTACAAGAAAACAACAATACTGTGAGATTTGCAAAATATTTAGATCAAAGGATTACACATCTTTAATGATAAAGACGTGTCAAAAAAAGGATGCCAATGATATGATTTTTACGTCCTTATAAAAATAATCCTATATTGATTTATATTTCTGTTATACCTTGAGATGAAATTACTTTAGGAATTTAATTCAACATATTCATGATGTACATCATACTCACCAGTACGTAAATGTTCCTATTAAGGTTTTTCAAAGACCGTCTTCAATAACTAAAAGGTATATAATTATCACTAGAGCTTTATGACATTGTTAAATAAATGCCACAAAGAGTAGTAAGAGAGGATGATACACTGTAAGTCTTTTTTATCCCGTAATATTATATCTCAAAATAACTAAACAAACTGAACAAGAAAAAGATCGACGCATAAACAAACTAGATTTTGAATAATATTAGAACACAAAAATAACTATATTTGAAAAGAGAAACAAATCAAAATAGACTGACATACATATTGTTCGACATATAACTATAAAAAACTCTGGTCCCTTATCTCTTATTTTTGGCAAATATAATTTGGTTTGAACCTATTGATTGCAAGGAAGCTTCATATAACATGTGCAGCGATGGTGTTTTTGCTTTCGCCATATGGTGTCTTGACAATCGCAACGCTTATATTTTACATACGATCAGCCATTTCGCGGTTACAAAACATGTTTCCGTCAGCAGGACATTTTCCGAGATTTTCATAACCACTTATTTTACAAAGTGGAACCAATCGTTGTGCCTTCACTTCTACTGCTTTCAACCACCAAAACAAAACATAGATAAATTTTCAGCTAGAAAATCCAAAAAACTTTTAGCTAAACAATTCATAACCAAAAGATTTCGATTAATTTACAACACCATATTTGTTAATAGGAACCATAATTCACGAATAAATAATAAAAATCAAAAGTTATTACGTACCTTTAAAAATGTTCAAAACAAAAAAACATGAGAATGCACAAAACTACAAACGAAGTAACACACCTCATGACTCCAAAAATTAATCAAAAGTCGTTTCTGTGACTTGCAAAAACTTAGTATTTTTAAGATTAAAAAGTGAATATACTTTTTTATCGGCACTCATACTATATATATTCAACACACTAAAAAAAGATTTCAATATTAAGTTATAAAAATAAACTAGGATAAAGTCAACTAGAGAGATAAAAGTGGTAGTTTAGTTTTGGATTTTTATTTTTTTTTATTTTTAATATACTAATTGAGAATATTTAAAAATCTAGTGTTGAACTTATCAATCTGTAAAAAGAATCGTTTGTAGCGAAAACAATATATGGCTTGTAGGAAAAGCTATAAAGGCGCATACACGGGAAGTTAAAATGAGTGTTTTTCTTTTCATTGAAAATATATGTGGTAGACAAATTTTAAGTTAATTACTTAGATGTTGTAAGACAACAATTTCTGTTTAACATGACATGAATTGTATAAATGGAATCTATGTTATGTTCCACTTATAAGGCTTTCATTTTTTTTTAAATTCATATGTGCATTTAAACTCAAATATTCTAAACATTGTAGAAATTATAGTATTCTGGTTGAGGTAAAAAGGATGATACTTTAGAATTCAATTCGAAAACGGGTATATACATGACCAGTGGCGGATCCAGAAATTATTTTTAGGGGGGTCAAATTTTTTTTTCAATTATGTTATATAGTTTATTATATTAAAATATTATCAAACACTAGAAAATCAAAACATTATTTATTATTTTTATAATTAATTAGGAAAAAAGTATACAATTTCCAATAGATGCTGTGATTTTTTAAAAGAATAAAAAATTAATAGCAATCAATACAACGTACTAAAGATGTTAAAAACCAAAAATTAACCAAAATTGTGAGACTCAAGTATCGAACCCTGGTTTAGGGGAGTCAGTTCTATCACATTCTACCAACTTTGCTACAAGTACTTTAGTTATTTTGAAGCATTATACTATATTTGAATATTTAACATGGGTCAGTTGACCCACCTCTTTCCTTAGTGGGTCCGCCACTGTACATGACACGGCCAATATCGTAAAAATAATCCTATTCATGAAAACGGATATTTCTGTTCTCTATCTTAAGATGAAACTTCAGGAAGTTAATTCAACTCATTCACGACATTCATTACGTACATGACGTCCTATTAAGGTGTTTCAAACACCATCTTCTACAACTACAAAGTATATAAAAGGTTAAAAAAATCACTAGCGTTTAATTTTCTGATTCAAATTGTTAAATAAACGTAATAAAGAATGAGTAAGAGATGATAATACACCATAAATATTTTTATTGTTTAGTTTTATAACTCAAATTAACAAAGAAAAACTGAACAAGAAAAAGATTGATTGAATAAAGGAACTACGTTTTGAGAATTTAACTCATAACTATTCATTCTTTTTTTTTTTGGTAAGAGACCGGGAAGCAGGGCCTCCCAGAATTTATTAAATTAAAAACAGAAAAATTATACCGGAATCATTCTTGGTCGCGTAAACCCAAAAACGTCACCCCTTACAATCGAAACAAGTAGAATCATCACTCTTCATTCTATTTGAATACAAAAGTAACTAAATTTGAAAAAAAAAGAAATAACAAAATGGATTGATATATATTGTCAATCATATAACATACAAATGCTCACGGCCCTTATCTCTTATTTTGAGAAAGTGCATTTTGGTATTTGAACTATTCGTTGCAAGGGAGTCTCAGATAACATGTGCATTGATAGTGGTCTTTCCCTCGCCATTTAATAGTGTTTTGACAGTCGCAACGCTTAAATGTCCTATCAGGCGACGCCAATTGGCGATTACACAAGTTGCTTGCATCATGGATAGTTATGGGGCATTTTCCAGGGGTTAGAAGACCAGTCATTTTACACAGAGGTTTCCGTCGTTGTGCTTTCACATCTACTGTTTCCAAACAAACACAAATAAATATTTAACTAAACTTTACTGATAAACAAAGGATTTTCTTAATCAATACTTGCATATCCTAAAATAAAAATTATAAGACAAATTAAACTAATATATTACCTTTAACATTGTTTAACACAAGGAACATGAGAATACACAAAACTACAAACGATGTAGCACACCTCATGACTCCAAAATTTAATCAAAAGTCGTTTTCTATGCAGAAACTTTTCGTAATTTTGAGATGAAATAAGTAAATATATTTTTATCTGAAATTCGTGATTATATATAATTGATAAAACACTAAAAATAGGTGTTCATATTAAAATAGAATAAATAAATTTCAAATATGAAAAAAATTACTGGTCAACAAAGTAGACAAAATTGTAGTTTATTTTTGGAAAAAATATATATTGCATTATTTTAATATACGAATTGCGACTTATATTTAGGAATTTCCTATTGAACATGTCAATGTATACAAAAAATCTATTGTTAGTTTGTTACCACCCAATTTTAGTCATTACAGATATGTGTCAATAGGCTACAAAACATTTCTAAATGATGTCAAGAAAAATAATCCCTAGACACAACCATTAATACTTTGTTGGCAATGACACGGATGAGTATGACAATGAACTGGATGGCTTGGAACAAGTTGTGCAATAGTAAATCGGAAGGAGGGTTAGGTTTTCGGAATGTAGACGACTTTAATTCAGCCCTGTTAGCTAAACAATTATGGCGGTTGATTACGGTTCCAGATTCTCTTTTTGCGAAGGTGTTTAAAGGGCGGTATTTTCGGAAATCCAATCCCTTGGAAAATATAAAATCATATTCCCCATCATATGGATGGCGTAGTATTTGTTCAGCTAGATCTCTGGTTAATAAAGGACTTATTAAAAGGGTCGGATCTGGGAAATCCATCTCAGTTTGGGAGGATCCCTGGATTACAGCTCAATTCCCGAGACCAGCAAAGAGTAATGGTTCACCTGTTGATCCATTGTTAAAAGTTAATAGTCTTATAGATAGTCGGTCGAATTTTTGGAATATTGCTCTCTTAGAGGAGCTCTTTGATCCAGAAGATATCGCCATCATAAGTGCCCTACCTGTGGGTGCGCCAACTAAGGAGGATACATTGGGTTGGCATTTTACAAAATCCGGAAAATATACAGTCAAATCAGGATATCATACCGCTCGGTTAGGAAATTTGGAGACAAATTTCTCATTGATTGGACCAGACATCAAACCGTTAAAAGCACATTCTTGGCAAGTGCATTGTCCACCTAAGATACGTCATTTCTTATGGCAAATTTTAACGGGTTGTGTACCAGTTACGGAAAATTTGCGGAGAAGGGGAATTGATTGTGATACAGGTTGTGCTAGATGTGGCGAACTAGTGGAAACAATCAATCATACACTCTTTCAGTGCCACCCGGCACGACAGGTTTGGGCACTCTCTCAGATTCCTACGGCAATGAGAATTTTTCCAACGGAATCTATTTTTGTGAATTTGGACCATTTATTTTGGAGAATATCTTCAGAATTTGACTCTTTAGCCTTTCCATGGATTATCTGGTATATATGGAAAGCAAGGAATGAAAAAATATTTGAAAATATTGATAAAGATCCGTTAGAGGTATTACGGTTAGCGGAAAAAGAAGCACAATTGTGGCAGTCAGCCCAAATTGAGCTTCATCATGAAAATCATGGTACTGTGGAATTGGTAAATCGTTCTCAAGTGGGGAATACTTCACTTGACTCGAATTTTTCTGGATACCGTTGCTTTGTGGATGGATCGTGGAAAGAAAGTGATAAGTTCTCCGGTACAGGATGGTTATGTACATCATCAAACGGAGAGCCGCCAACCATGGGAGCTGCAAATCTCTGTCGAAGTTTATCTCCATTACATACCGAGTTCGAGGCCCTTCTCTGGGCGATGAAGTGTATGATTGGTGCAGATAATCAAGAGGTAGAGTTCCTTACAGATTGTTCTGATCTGGTGAAGATGGTGTCTTCTCCAACCGAATGGCCGGCGTTTTCAGTGTACTTGGAGGAATTTCAGAGCGACAAGGAAGAATTCTCAACCTTCTCTTTATCTTTAATTTCTCGTAATGCTAATGTAAAAGCGGATCATCTGGCACGAAAAGTTCGTACAGAATCGCTTCATATCACATTTGTAAACAACATTCCCCAGGAATGGCTCTTTTGAGCTCTAATTAATTTCGGACGACAAAAAAAAAAAGAGTATGACAATGAACTTTTTAGTGACTAAACTGCTACGGATAGCCACTACAAATGTGTGTGGCCAGTTACTAGCTGGGATTATTGTCTAAAATGCCATTTTTTAGGAAAAACTTACGAAAATGCCATTTTTTGAATAGTTTACGGATTTTGCCCTTTTTTAACACTTAAAAATGTACGTATTTTGTGATTTTTTTTGCAAAAATACGTACTTTATACCAAATACTAAACCCTAAGAACAAATGAAACCGACTAAACCCAAACATAACGAGTAAAACGCATGTTAAATCATATTTTTGGAACCTGAAAAAGGGCAAAATCTACAAACTATTCAAAAAATGGCAAAATCCACAAATGCTACTATAAAAAAGGGCAAAATCCGTAATTAATTCGTTACTAGCTACATTTATGTTCAATCTCGTTCGCCGGTTTTGGAACATGTTTTATGGTTGTTTTGCACTTCCGTTATTAAAAAACAGACTGGCTAGCTAGGCTTCTGGTTCCGAACCAGACCAACTAACCGATCTGGTCTGATTTTAAAATCACTGTTTATTGAAGTGTAAACTTAAAAAAAAAAACAAATTGTTATTCAAACTCATAGATTGGCTAAATTATCAAATACTGTTGATGATTCTAATTTTGTCAACAACATGATCGGAGAGCCGATTTTGCATTTGGATTGTGGCCTTTCTCTTCCTCTCTGTCTAGTCTCAATGAGTAGCTCATAAGAATCTCGATTTCTTCATCTTTGGAATAACATTGCTAATATGTTATGATGTTCTTGACGAGGATCTTGATTGTGTATATAGTTCTCGTGAATATCAACGTGTAGGATATCATGTAACTTTTTACCGGATTCCAAAATAATGTCGTGGAAACAAATTTTAATCCAAAATTTGTAAAATTGAAGGCTCAAACCTTGAACTTTAGAAACAAAACTGTATTTATATTAAACAACATTACTGATTCACTTAAAAGATTTTTGATGAAATAACAAAAAAAACAATTATATCAACTAAAATCACCATGGCTGCCCGCCCTCACCGTCACCATTATCGTCGCGGCCACTGCCATCGTTATCGCCATGGCCACATGCCGTTATTGTCGCATCCACGACCATCGATTTTGTTAAACTGGAGACTTATATATGAAAAAGAAGCCCTTGCAAGCCATCACCTCCGTAAATTGAAGAATGTCTAATCGAATACAATTGGTTTATATATTTTTATGGTTTAAAAGTATATAATTATATAAATAAGTTAAATGCATGACTTATTTCAATAATCATTAATTTGATATGATAATAAAATAAATAAATGGAATAAACATTCATTATGAGATGAGAAAATACATCAAGTTTTTTTCATCTTCCAATATTAAAAAGATTGATTGAGATACTCAAACTACTTTTATATATGAATTTATAATTTATTTATTTTTAATTAAAAAATAAAAGAATTTTCAAAATAGATTGACATAAACTATATGTCTTCCAAATTAATACCAAAATATCTTGTAAATAGATATTGGTTTTTGCTAGTAGAAAACTTAGCAAGGATTAGGACGGCCACCTAAACATACGCACGAATAAACGTCCTTGTTTCCTACCCTGGTGTCCTTACACGGCCTGCAACGAGAACCATTCTTTTGGTTCTCTGGAAAATATGTAGTCCTTTTAAATTCATCCAAACAAAACTGAACTTTGTTAGCCCCACATTTTCCAGGGTTCATCAGCTTATATGGACAATTTCTTCTTACTTCCCTTCCTAAAATCAATCAATTAAAAACAACAATATACGTTTTAGTTAAACAACTGATGATATTAAAAGATTAAAAGCTTTATTTTAAACACCATCTTGTATGATTGAAATAATCAAATGTTTTCGCATCTAACGAATGACATATAAAAATCTAAACGAAAATAATATATTACCTTTAACATTGTTTGTAACGAGCAACATAAGAAAAAATAAAAGTATAGACGAAGTAACAAATCTCATGATTCAAAATTTTAATAAAAGCTTGTGTTTCTTACTTGTAGAAATTGGTTGTTTTTCTTTATAAATATACTTAAAACACACTTAAAATAGATTTTTATTCAATTAGGGGGAAAAATAACACTAAAAATAGAAAAGATAATGTGGTAGGACTAAGTCAACGAGATAGAAAGAATCGGGTGTTATTTTTGGATAAATTATTCTTGATTACTAGTTTATTTTCAAATTTATTTGCATGTGTGGTTAGTAGAAAAAGCTGTTTTTAATCAAATTTAAATGGGGAGATTAAAGTTAAAGAAAATATGTGGTTAGCAGGGTTGAGTCGGTTCTTTCGGATTGAATACAGCGAAAATATGTGGTTAGTAGAAAAAGCTGTTTTTAATCAAATTTAAATGAGTTTTCTGCAAAACAACCTTCTAAGTCAATTTCGTTTACAAATTTACCTTTCAAGTCTGAATTATGCAAGTTAACTCTACAATCTCAAAAGTCACCCGCAATACTGCCCTCCCGTGTAGCGATGACGTGGCACTCAATAACTCCGTTAGAAAACATAAAGGGTTTTTGCAAAAAAAAAAAAACCTCCATGTAATTTTTTTTTTGCAAAACAAACCTCCATGTCAAATAAATGCAAGTCAAACCACAATCTCAAAAGGCATATGCAATAAAGCCCTTCCGTGTATCGCTGACATGGCAATCGATAACTTATTTTATGTAATGTAGAAGTATCATGCATCTCGAACCTCAACTTGGTTAATTCCTCCATCATAGCCTCATCCCACCATTTCCATATGTCATATGTGGCATGCCCCAGTCTAGGCCTGGGCATTCAGATTTCGGATTGGATTCGAATCAGATATATTCGGATTCGGATAATTCGGATATGAGAGTTTTGTGACTATTCGGTTCGGGTTTTGTGACTATTCGGTTCGGGTTCGGTTCCTGATTTTTTGGATTGGTTTTCGGATTTCAGGTTTTATGTCCAGGCCTACCCCAGTCTATCAAAATGCAACCAAAACTTCAACCAAAATTCAAAACTTTATATGAATCACTTAAAATTCAACCAAAATTCAACCAAGATTCAACCAAGATTTTCGATTATGTAAAAAACAATTCAACAATCACTTATAAAGTTTTGAATTTTGGTTGAATTTTGATAGACCGGAGTATATCACATATGGAAATGGTGGGATAAGACTATGATAGAATAATTAACCAATTTGAGGCTCGAGATGCATGATACGCATGATACTCCTACATACTACATTACATTAAATGAGTTATCGATTGCCACGTCATCGATACACGGAAGGGCTATATTGCAGGTGACTTTTGAGATTGTGGTTTGACCTGCATTTATTTGACATGGAGGTTTGTTTTGCAAAAAAAAATTTACATGGAGGTTTTTTTTGCAAAAACCCCTTATGTTTTTTAACGGAGTTATCGAGTGCCACGTCATCGCTACACGGGAGGACAGTATTACGGGTGACTTTTGAGATTGTAGGGTTGACTTGCATAATTCGGACTTGAAGGGTAAATTTGCAAACGAAATTGACTTAGAAGGTTGTTTTGCAGAAAATCCAATTTAAATCAATGAAAAATGAGATTCTTTTTTTCTTCTTCTCATATTTAACTTTATTTTTATTTAAGGAAAGAGTTTTGATTATATTTAATATTGCAAATAGAATTATGAAAGCAAAACGTTTCTCGAACATTTAAAGGAAGCACTAATCTTGTAACTTTGCAGTTTCCATGGATGCAGCCGGAAAGAATAGATCCAAAACTATAATATATACCAACGTGTCTAGTATAAATCATGGAACTACGAGAGATGATTAATCGATGCAGTTACGAACGATTTTTACATGGACCTTGATAGGTAAATAAATCTAGTCAATCACAATTTTTCAAAAGTTGACGCAGAGTTTCTCACTTTCCCACTTAGGTCACGGATGCAAATTAACAAAAATTTAACGTAAATGTTAAACATGACAGTAATATTAGTACAAGCTACTCTTACGTTTTCTAGTAATAATAGTGAACTTAAAGCGAAGATGTCATTAAAAAAAAAAAACTCATAAGGAGGCTAAAACCTCATAAGATGAGATAGAGAAAGCAACGATTGGAGAAGGATGTTAATGGAGGTAACATCATCAACGCTATTTCCAACTCTCTGTGTTCATCAAGTTGTTGAATGATGAGATAGGAATATGAAAGTGGAGAAGTTTGAGGTTGAGGTTTTACGATGCTCTAAGGATTTCACCTACTCCTGGGTTTGCTCAGTTGAAACCTCAAAACCAGGCGGTATAAAGACAATGTCGTCCCAGTTTGATGTCGTGCTTTCCTGCAATTTCGCCCGGGAAACAGATTCAGCAAAACCCGTCATTCTTAAAGAAAAACGCATTACAGAACGTCTATGGTGTTTTTTCTTTGATTGTTTACCTTCATTCCCTTGACAATATCTTCGAAAACTGCAACCTTTGGAATACAAAATCATGCATTTTAATATGAGGTGGAGAAAATTATGGATTTACAAGAAAATGGGGAGATTAAAGTTAAAGAAAACCTGAATATCGCCTGGTTTCAGAGCAGGGTTGAGTCGGTTCTGTTGGCTGGACGCTCGTATTAGGGATTTTTCCAAGTCCTCCTGTCAAAACTCAACCAAGATTCAAGCTTGCCGATCATGTAACCAGTGTATGGACAAAGGTGAATTGGGTCTTGTAAGTTTAACTAACCTTTCTGAAGAAAACAGGGCGATAACTCATGTTTTCACTTCGTAGAATCAAGCTCTTTGACTGAGACAACACAAGTCAGATTGTTAAGAAAACTGGACATTAAGAAAAACATGTCTCGAACAAAAATTTAAAGGAAGCAATAATCTCAACATTTTGCAATTTCCATGGATGATAGATGCAGCCCTGTTAAAACGAAAAAGCTAGTCACAACCATTGAAAGTATTGGTTCTTTTGCACATTACCTGGAAAACTGGAACACCATGGAAGTCATCATCATCAATACCAGCTGTTTTCCTTTCCTGTATACACATATAGAAGAGATATATAATTTACTTGCAGTGTCTAACCAAATGCTACAGTCTGTTTTCAGAAAAATAAAGGTACATCTAGGAAGGATTACATCCATAAGACCTATATGCTGCAAAGAAACCTGACCACCTTTGAGTAAATATGTACCAAAACTGAATGCAATTAGTGTACTTCTAAGAAAACCAATCGTTGGCGCAGAAAAGGTTGTCAATATCAATATTCACCACAACATGGAATTTCCTAGCCAGAAGAGTGATGGCATGACACAAATCCAAAGAGTCAACTGAAGTCCTAAATCTTACATCTCCATGGTCTACGACTCTACGCCTAGGTTTTACCACACATTCTGTGAATTTCATGTCAGATAATATCAGAAATGTGATATAGAGGAAGAGTCTGAATGTCCGATAATAACGAGAAATGATTCTCTATATTTACTCACTCTCTGAATCCGCGTACAGAAAACAACTGAGAACAAACCAAATCAAAGCAGCAATGATGGAAGCCTAGGCTGAATTCCAAAGCACCCTAAACTCTCCTAAACCCAAACCAATGCTACACCAATCCAGACTCCCTTCTCATTCTCCCCCAACTTCCTTCTAATCAGTTACCTCTCTAGCTAACTGACTATCTATAGTCGCTGAAACAGAGCTACGATTCACTAAAGTAATTAAAAAGCTCCTGCACTAAACTAACACAAAGTCTCCTCATTGATGAATGATGACAGTCATGTTCAGCAGCTATAACGTCTATGGTGACAAATAGCAAAGCTTTTGAGTATCCAAAGATATATTCTATGGACAAATCAACTCACCTTCAAGGCATTTTTCACTTGAGTAGACTCAGGAATCAACCTAAATGCCACACCATTAACTTTTAACTGGAACACCTGCAACAACAACAACACACACAAATCAAAACCAGTAAACAAAACACAAATCGAGCTAATTGAGTTATTGATTCCTTATACCTTGCTAAGAGCAAGAGCAACAACTTTTGAACCTTCTTTCCTCATACGAGGATCCATACTCTTCATCTGTTTAAGAAGTGTCTCTGCATCTTCCTCTTTACAAAACAACAAACCCAGAGATTTCCCAGAAGAAGTCCCTGAAACCAACACAAACTCCTCGTTCGAATTACTCAACGCGTAAACAGGAACTCCCGCCAATCTCTCCTCAATAGCATCAGCCGTTAATCCTTTCCCGCTTCCGCGAACCGGAGCCGTCACCTGAGTCCTCGCACCACCACCGCCACCGACGTCGTCAGAAATTCTCGCCCAAACTGGTGCCTTACCAGAATTGAAACGAGAGATTCTAGAATCTAAAGCTTGCTTAGCTTGATCACGCAACGAATTGAGAGCAGAGAAGATATTACGGTTGTTGTTCTTGTTGGGGTTGAAGAGAGGATTAAGGGTTTGCGAAACGTTGTGGAGTAAATTGGAGCATTGAGATTGGAGATTTGAGAAGGATTGTTGTATGTTAAACTGGTTTTGATGTTTCGATGGTGGGAAAATGTTTGAATTCATTATTTTCTCGGGAAAATGATTTGCTTGAGAACTGAGAAAAATAGTGAGGGTTTTTGAAAGGCTTTGCGAAGAAGAAGAAGACAGTGAGGAAAAGATTTCATCTCTTTGCTTGAAGAAGAAAACAATTATAATTGCTTTTGTAAAGAAGCCCTCTAAGTATCTAATTTTTACAAATTTATCCTCTATGTTTTAAAATAGATTTTTTTTCGTCAGTTGACATCGTTAAACTATCAGAATTTGATTTTAGTTTCATTTAATAAACCTAAAACCGAGTTAAGAGGATCGGAATTTATCCCAAAACCCCGATAAGATAAATAACCCCTAAAAATGAAGAAAAAAAATTGAATTTTATTGTTTTTTTTTTTTTTGTCGTCTAGATTTATTATTAATTGCAAATTATGAGAACTGTTACATAGACGATTCTACAACTGACAATTCCTTCCGACCCTTACTAGATTCACGACAGACTACACTTCCTTCTTCGTAATCTTGATGAATACCTTCAATGATCCACGACCTCGCTACACTTCCTTCTCTGCGTAGAATCCTGGCGAACGGCTATAATTGTACATCGCTGGAGATCTCTTGCACACTTGCCTCCATTAATCTGCAAATTTGTTAATAAATCGCAATACCTGGGACTCGAACCCCAGACTTTTTGGTGTAGAAGCATTAATCAACCCTTGGTCAACCAATGGGCCAAGGGGGCTTCCACGAATTTTATTGTTTTATTTGCGATTTTGGATCTTAGAAAAAGACTAAAAATTTAAGAAAACTTATATTTGTTATGAAAGTTAAATAAAGAAGCTACATATAAAAACTTATGATAAATTTTTTTGTAAATTATTAATTAAATCTATCGTCACAGATTAATTTAACTTTTCTATTTCTATATAAACGATCGAATCGATCGCTTGAAATTCACTTCTTTTTTTTTTAACGTCTGAATTTATTATTTATTGCAAATTATGAGAACTGTTACATAAACGATTCTACAACGGACAATTTCTTCCGACCCTTATTAGATCCACGATATACGACACCTTCTTCACCTTCTTCTTCATACTCACCTCCTTCACCTTCTTCTTTATGCTCTTTATGGACACTTCCCTCTCTGCGTAGAATCCTGGCGAACGGCTATAATTGTACATCGCTGGAGATCTCCTGCACACTTGCCTCCAATAATCTGCAAATTTATTAATAAATCGCAGTATCTGGGACTCGAACCCCAGACTTCTGGGTGTAGAAGCATTAATTAACTCTTGTTCAACCAATAGGCCAAGGGGCTTCCACAATTCACTTCTTTACATAACAATTATAACTTGAGTAACAAAAATAATAATACATTTTTCTCTTGTCCTTCTATTTTCTGTATTTCAATCTTTCTTTATTATTCATATTTATATCTATCATAAATTAAACTCATACTTAAAACAATATTTTGTCATAATCCTGCATTTTTGGAATATGGAGGGGTTAACTTGCAAATCATAAACATTTGAAGGATCTAAAAACAAAACAATGACAATTATCCCCTGTTCTATACACAATTATTATTTCGAACATCATCCAGTTAAACCCCTCCACGTGTATAGTCGAAGACTTTTCCTCTTTAGCACCTGTGAGCTGACAAATGCACGTCACCTTCATCTCCAGTCTCTCACTTTCTTATCCAAAATTCACTACCAATACCTTCCTCCACCTTCAATCTCCGCGGCTTTTTGCTTTGCTGCGTAACAATGGCGGTTTTCGGTGGCGCTACTACATTGGGTTCTGTATCTTTCTCTTCTCATTCTCTTTGATGACGGTTCAATTAAACGGTTACAATTTTATTTAAATACAATATTAAATCATAATCCAACATTTTTGGAATATGGAGGGGTTAACTTGCAAATCATAAATAGTTTAAGGATCTAAAAAACAAACTGACAATTATCCCCTGTTGCTAGACACATTTAGAATCACGGACATCATCCAGTTAAACCCCTCCACGTGTATAATCGAAGACTTTTCCTCTTTAGCACCTGTGAGCTGACAAATGCCACGTCACCTTCATCTCCAGTCTCTCACTTTCTTATCCAAAAACCATTGCCATTACTCACCTTCAATCTCCGCGGCTTTTTGCTCTGCCGCGTAACAATGGCAGTTTTCGGTGGCGCTACTACATTGGGTTCTGTATCTTTCTCTTCTCATCTCTTCGACCAACAATCTTGTTTCCTCTCTTGCCCACTTAGACTCCTCCCTTCCTCTTCCTCATCCTCTTCTCCGTCACATAGAAACCCTCTCCTCTGCATTGTCAAATCATTCTCAAGCTCCGCCACCGCGGATACAGATAGAAACTCCGATCAATCAGCCTCTTCCTCCGTCCTCTCCGCCTCCAATTCTCTTCTCCGAGACACCTCCAATGATGCTGCTGGACCCAGTGATTGGAAAACGGCAAAAGCTTATTGCAAAAGTGGTGATACATTTGAAGGTGAAGTTGAAGGCTTTAATGGTGGTGGCTTACTTATTCGTTTCCATTCTCTTGTGGGATTTCTTCCTTATCCACAATTAAGTCCTTCACGTTCTTGTAAAGGTATCAAAGTCCTTAAAGTTTCAATTTTTACAATGATGGTTTGTGTTTTTCTTACTGTTGTGTTGTGTTCTGTGAAGAGCCTCAGAAAAGTATTCATGAAATAGCTAAGACTTTGGTTGGTTCTAAACTTCCTGTGAAGGTAAAGTTTTCTCTTTTGCATTGTTTTGTGATTTCTCTAATGTGTGTATGATTGAGGTAAATCTTTATATTAGGTTGTTCAAGCTGATGAGGAAAATAGAAAGTTGATTTTATCTGAGAAGTTAGCATTATGGCCAAAGTATTCACAAAACGTTAGTGTTGGAGATGTGTTTACTGGAAGAGTAGGTTCTGTTGAAGACTATGGTGCCTTTATCCACTTGCGTTTCGATGATGGTATATTTGATTTTATCGACATTTCTTGATTGTTTCTTCTTGTTCTGAGCTTGTGACATTGGTGAAATATGTGGTGTTTGTATAGGTCTTTATCATTTAACCGGATTAGTGCATGTCTCTGAAGTATCGTGGGATTACGTTCAAGATGTTAGGGATGTACTACGCGATGGTGATGAGGTTCGGGTTATAGTCACGAATATTGACAAGTGAGTTTCTTCTTTTAGTTACTGAATTTGATTAGTCATGATATAGTTTTTAATCAAGAATTGTTCCAATGCAGAGAGAAATCAAGGATTACACTATCTATCAAACAACTAGAAGATGATCCTCTTCTAGAAACATTAGACAAAGTGATTTTGAAGGTAAAACAATGTGAATGAATGTGTTTCTGTCTCTTGTGGGTGTTTAGTGATTTATAATAGATCATTGAATATTGTTACAGGACAGCTCTAGTGGATCTCCTTCGCTAAGTTCGAACAATGGGGATACAATCGAACCTCTTCCAGGGCTAGAAACAATACTTGAAGAACTTTTAAAGGAAGATGGGTATATTTCAAAACAAATTTCTTTACTATTGCAATCCTAATCAGCTCTTCATCCGCTTATTACAAGAGAACTTTGACTAGGATCACCTCTAGTCTACTAGACCGTGTTGTTCGTTCTGTGAATGTCCAGATTGGTTCACTCCTGGTTTTGCAATCGATATAAACATATCAATAGCTATTACTGGCTGATACTTTTTGTGAACCATGATGAGTTGTATATTGTTAATTTGCATTAGTTTGATTCTATGTTTCAGGCATAACCATCTAAAGATGGAAGAACATTCCGGTTCCATTGTGTAAACTAAATCTTGATCAATCCTCCTTTTCATTTCTACGTTGCAGAATAGAAGCTGTGAAAATCAACCGGCAAGGATTTGAGAAAAGAGTAGTTTCACAAGACCTACAACTTTGGCTCTCAAATGTGAGTTCTGTTTTTGTTTTTCCAAAATTCACATAAGAATAAACAATGCTAAAAACTCATTCGATACGCCTATTTCACACAGACACCACCTTCTGATGGGAAGTTTGTTCTTCTTGCCCGTGCTGGAAGACAGGTCAATCTCAGAAGCTATCCATTTGTGACCATAGATAGAGTTGTCCTTGGTCTGATACAAGTAAATACGTTAACATTTCAGGTGCAAGAGATACACTTGACGACGTTTCTGGAACAAGGAGGAATCAAGAAAGCACTTCAGCATGTACTAGAACGTGTCCCCTAAGAACCCTAAAGAGACTTGCTTCTCATCCCTATGTCCAGCTCTTGGCAATATAACTTCAAGTGGAGCAGGCAAGTAGGCAACTACTTCAGAATATGCTTAAAAGGCAAAAATGCAAATTCATTTGTATCATCATTATATGTCACACATAACACAAACTTATGAAAATATGTGTATACTCGATGTTTTTAGTTACACATTATAAACTTCATTAACATACAAAACAATATAATTGCAATCACTTGATTAATAACAAATAATTCATGAAATTCAAGATCTAAAACCTTCTCAAGTCAATAATTGACTTTTTTGACACCATGTTTTGGTAAGTACTATCTTATAAAATAGTCTCTTAACCAAGAATAATCAAACATGATAATTAAAATCAATTTTATCCTTTTGTTTGTTTTCTCTCCCACAACTTTCCTGTCTCTGCCATGCACATGCTCTCTCTCTTTCTTCTCTCTCTTATTCTCACTCCAATGATTACAGAGGCCAGCCTAAGCAGCCTACCCACTTTCACCATCTAAATGTTCCCACATTAACATAAACACACGTAAGATACTTCTCCTTTTGAACTGTAAGATTCACTCTTTTTTAATTTCTTAAATTTTCTTATCATTACTTTCTCTTTTTTTGTCATTTTCTCTTAAACCTTCTTCTTCTTCTTCCTTTTCTCTGATCAGTAAAAAAAGTCACCGCCTCTCTTTCCTCTTCCCCTAATTGATCAATCATGCTTCTTCATTTCTAGTTCTCTTCCTGACTCATTTCCCTCATTAGATCTTCTTCTTCACTAAACCCATAATTGGAAAAAGCTTTTTTTGCTTACATTTCAGTAAAAAATCATCACTTTGATTGAAGAAACACACATAAAGTTTGTCTTTTTACTTCTCAATTTGGTTGTTTCCACTCAGTTTCAATCTTGCTTTCTGATTCAAATTCTGGGTTTTCTTCAGAATTCCCAGAGAAGTTGTTGAAAATTTTCACTTTTTTGAGTCACAAAAGTTTTAGTCTTTTAGATGAACATGGACAAGGAAACAGAGCAAACCCTAAATTACTTACCTTTGGGTCAGAGCGATCCCTTTGGCAATGGCAATGATGGAACTATCGGAGATTTCCTTGGAAGATACTGCAACAACCCTCAAGAGATTTCACCGTTAACTCTACAATCTTTCTCTCTGAATTCTCAGATCTCTGAGAATTTCCCAATCTCTGGTGGAATCCGATTCCCTCCGTATCCAGGTCAATTTGGATCCGATCGAGAATTTGGGGTTCTTGGGTCACAACCAACAACGCAAGAGAGTAACAAAAGCTCGTTGTTGGATCCAGATTCAGTTTCGGATCGAGTTCACACCACGAAATCTAACTCCAGGAAGAGGAAATCGATTCCTAGTGGTAATGGCAAGGAGTCTCCAGCTTCTTCCTCTCTCACAGCTTCCAATTCAAAGGTTTTGATTCATTATCTCTCTTGCTCTAATTCAAAAATGTAGACTTTAAGAAACTGTAGCGATATGTGTAAGAAAGTTTGTGTTTTGTGGAGACTTTATCTATAGACCTTTTAGTGTGTTTCTTGATGTTCTTGGTTTTGGGAATTATGATTAGGTTTCAGGAGAGAATGGTGGATCTAAAGGTGGGAAGAGAAGTAAGCAGGATGAGGCTGGGAGTAGTAAAAACGGAGTAGAGAAGTGCGATAGTAAAGGCGACAATAAGGACGATGCTAAGCCTCCTGAGGCGCCTAAAGATTATATTCATGTTAGAGCTAGAAGGGGTCAAGCAACTGATAGCCATAGTCTTGCCGAAAGAGTACTAAACACCTTCGAAAACCGACTTGTTTTTTTGTTGATTTGGGGGTATTTTGATGTTTATGATGTTGATGTTTTTTCTGGTGTGTGTTTGGTATCAGGCAAGACGAGAAAAGATCAGCGAGAGAATGACGTTGCTTCAGGATCTGGTTCCTGGTTGCAACCGGATTACAGGGAAAGCGGTCATGCTTGACGAAATTATAAATTATGTGCAGTCCTTGCAGAGACAAGTTGAGGTAAGAACGTGTGTATTTCATAAATGTTATTGAAATTGGAGTTTGAATATATCTTATATCTGAAACTCGCGGTTTGTTTCTTCAGTTCTTGTCCATGAAGCTGGCTACTGTAAATCCAAGGATGGAGTTCAATGCTAATGCTGCTTTATCCACAGAGGTAAACTTCTGGTTTTGAACCTGCGATATATCATGTTACTATGATCGAATGTTCTGTATCTATAATGTGTGTGTCTGTATGTATAGATGATTCAACCTGGGGAGTCGTTAACGCAGTCTCTTTACGCAATGGCTTGCTCAGAGCAAAGACTTCCATCAGCATACTATTCCCTTGGCAAGAACATGCCCAGATTCTCAGACACACAATTCCCCTCAAACGATGGATTTGTTCAAGCTGAGGTAATTAGTAGCTAATGTCGAATTCTAGAAACTCGTTTGAGTGTATCGTAAACTCAAATCCTTTTGTGTTTGTGATTCATTTCAGACACCGGGATTCTGGGAAAATAATGACCTGCAAAGCATTGTTCAAATGGGTTTTGGAGATATCCAGCAACAGAGCAACAACAACAACTGTAAGAAAAATAAGAATCCAAGTCGAAACTTTGGAAACATCTCTTATGTTGTTAAGTCTCTTATCTTTTATGTTTCAGGTTCTGAGCCAACGCTTCAGATGAAGCTTGAGCCATAGGTCTGATCAAAGATGTTTACGGTTATTATCTCTGTTGTACATACAGAAACCAAGTAGTGATGAGTAACGGAGTGAAACATATTGGAATTTTTATGTTTACTATCGTTTCTTCTTTGCTTGTGCATCTGTTGATTTCTTCTCAACCTAAAACAAAAACAAGGAAACTTCATCATATTAAGTATGTATGTAAAAAAATGACAAGAACTTTTCTCTGTACTATTTACAGTTGTTATGTATTATGATTCCTCAGCTTGTAAGAAACTGGAATAAATTGGTTCACTTCTTTATATTCTTTTCACATTTTTTTACCAAACAAGATTGAAAGTACAGAAGTTTTCTCTTTGGATTCGTAGATGTAAACGATTGACATGCATGAAGACTCATGGTGTGTCGAATCTTGTTGCATTTTAAGGCACCTTAAGCCAAGTTCGAGAAGAAAAACTTCATTATTAGTCGAGAAATATAAGAATGAACAATGAATTTAAGGCTTTGAAAATTAGAGTCTTAATCTACTCGTTCTCATTTTGCCTCCCTCCTCCTGCGTTAAAGCGAATTAAGTCTCGACATGTTTTCATCATATCGAGACTTTTCCAAATCGCTTTCTTGTTTCCTTTCCCGTCCTTCAGGTTGCTTGATTTGCACTAAACTTGGAACATAAGACGACAGATCTGGCGTACATCTTTGGTCTCCAAAATCTCCAACGAGATCCAATGCCCTCAAGTATCCAGCCTCCCCAATGACAATAACTCTGTGGCGATTACGGTCATCAAAACCAAAGGCGACTTTCTTCTCCTCGTCAATGAAGAAACTTCCACTTATAAATGGAACATAACTATCAAATCCAGCTGTTGCCACTCTCAAGAACTTGCTCCACAACACCTCTTCAGTCTCAATCTTAGTCGTAATCCACAAGTCAAGCTCATATGGATTTGATTCATCGTGCTGAAGTATAACCGCAAGCTTCTCTTCTCTAACACAAGACAAAGTCGTATAATCATGATGCCCACCACTAAACGGCAGAGGCAGAAGCGGACCAAATCTCTCACTTGTAAAATCGAAACAGATTAAGCTATTGGCCAAGACTTCATCTACATCTACGTTCCTTTCAGCAGCACAAAAGTAAGTGTTTCCCTTAAGAGACACGCCAGGGTTACAAAATGCTATACGCCAATGTGGAGTGACATCAAGAGTCGTCCATAAATCAGAGTCAAAATCGTAGATTTCATACCAAAAGAACTGCTTTTCGGGTGCCTTGTAGTAATAATCTATAAACCTCAAAAACTTGTAGCTACGACAAGATTCCTTATTCACGTATCCGAGAGCGTAAATAAACCTATCCCATCCGTTTGGACGATGGGAATATCTTGGTTCGATCCACCTTGTTTGCCCCAAAAATGGATTCTGAACCACAAACCTAGAATCTTCTTTCAATATGCATAGCAATAAACCCTCGCAGTGATAGAGCTGAGATATCTTGACTTGTTTGTCAAGGCAAGTAAGTTTGCCTTTATGCTCTATAGATGGATCTCCATTAAGAACGATGCTCGTTAAATAAAGATTGTAACCCATCAACATGATCATCTGAAACTCACCTTCCTTTGCTGCGGCTTGACCAATATGCATCTTCCTAAAGCTCTGACTTTTGGATAAATCGTTCCACTTTTTGCAAGTTAATCGTACTTTTCTCATAGATTTCAAAGGAACCCTAGAGAGAATCTCCTCTACCAAATCCCTTGGAAGATTAGAGATCATCGTCTTCGTCATTGTTTCAATTTGCAACCTTTCTTCGGTTCCTCTGATTGACTGCGGTTGAAGGACGAATGCACAGAAACCCTAAATGAAGCTGGGCCAACCGTGTGCTTCATAAACTAGTTGGGCTTTTTGTGACTACATACATAAAAGGAAAGAATTTGATCAATATCTTTCATATGGGAGATGGATGAGTACAAAAAATGTATAAATTGTAAAATGAGTATGTAACACATAAGAAAGACAATGACAAAAGGAAAAGTTAGAGAATGGTGCAAGCTTTAGATCAGATCAGACCCCAACATGTCTCTTTTTCCTATACACATTACAGAAAAGAAAATGTTGTAGAAACGAAATTATATGTTGCATTGGTCAAACCCGAGAGCCAAAAGGATTCGGCGAGCTTTGACAATACATTAAACTTTTAATCCTATCTGGAGAATAGGTGCAAGCTTTAGATCTATATCTCACAGAATCAGATCAGATCTAAAGATTATATTCATGTTAGAGCTAGAAGGGGTCAAGCAACCGGTAGCCACAGTCTTGCTGAAAGAGTACTAAACACCTTTGAAAACAATTAATGACCTGAAAGCATTGTTCAAATAGGTTTTGGAGATATCCAGCAACAGAGCAACAACAACAACAACTATAAGAAAAATAAGAATCAAAGTCGTCCATCGAAACCTTTAGAACATCTCTTATGTTAACTCTTTCTGAGCCGACGCTTCAGATGGAGCTTGAACCATAGCTCTGATCAAAGATGTTTACGGTTATTATCTCTGTTGTACATACAGAAACCAAGTAGTGATGAGTAACGGAGTGAAACATATTGGAATTTTTATATATGTTTACTATCGTTTCTTCTTTCCTTGTGCATCTGTTGATCTCTTCTCAACCTAAAACAAAAACAAGAAAAATTTCATATGAAGTATGTAAAAAAATGACAAAAAACTTTTTCCGGGACATCTCTGTACTAGTTACATTTGTTATGTGTTATGATTGCTCAGCTTGTAAGAAACTGGAATAAATTTGTTCACTTCTTTATATTTTCTCTTTGGTGTGTCGAATCTTGTTGCATTTTAAGGTACCTTAAGCCAAGTTTTAGAAGAGAAAGATCGAGCGACGAACTCATTATTAGTCAAGAAAAAAAAGAATGAACCATGAACTACTTAAGGCTTTGAAAATTAGAGTCTTAATATACTCGTTCTCCTTTTGCCTCCCTCTTCCTGCATTAAAGCTCATTGATTCGCTTAGAGTGAGTCAAGTCTCAAAATGTTTTCATCATATCGACACTTTTCCAAATCGCTTTGATTTGCACTAAACTTGGAACATAAGAGCACAAATCTGTCTTACATTCTTGGTCTCCAAAATCTCTAACGAGATCGAATCCCCTAATGTATTTAGCCTCTCCAATGACAATAACTCTGTGGCGATTATCGTTATCAAAACCAATGACGATTTTCTTCTCCTCGTCAATGAAGAAAATTCCATTTATAAATGGAACATAAATACCAAATCCAGTTGCCACTCTCAAGAACCTTCTCCACGACACCTCTTCAATCTCAATCCAAAAGAAAAGCTTGTATGGATTTGATTTGTTGTAGTGAAGTAAAACCGCAAGTTTCTCTTCTCTAACACAAGACAAGGTAATATAGTCATGATGCCCATCAGTACTAAACGACAGATGCAGAAGCGGACCAAATCTCTCACTTGTAAAATCGAAACAGATTATGCTAGAGGTGAAGACTTCTTCTAAATTTGCGTTCTTTTCAGCAGCATAATCAGATTTTGGACGAGTATTTGTTGGAGCAAATACTTGCTTCGGATGAGAGGCAAGTATCAAGTCCTAAAGTCAGTTACTTGTACGGGTCAAATTGTGTCACAAGTACTCAGAAAATTAGCAAGTGCTTGCATGCCTTTACCTTCACTATTTTAATAAAGTGTTTATCCGGATTTCCCATATATTTTTCATTTCTTATCAAGTAATTTATAAACTATAAAATTTGTTTTTACAGGATTAACAAAATAAATATGTGACAAAATTAAATGTAGTGGAGCTGGAAATATTGATCAAACTTTGTCATCAAAAGCCCGACTAGATTTTCAAGCCCACGTTTGGTCTCCAGCTTTATTTAGGGCTTCTTCTTCTTGTTCAACCGCAATAGATCAGAGGAAACGAAAACAAGGGTTTTCGATTGCAGATTGAAACAGTTAAACTCCAAACGTCAGAGCTTTAGGAAGATGGACATTGGTAAAGCCTTACCTGCATCAAAGGAAGGTGAGTCTCAGATGATCGTGATGATGGGTAACAATCTTTATTTAACGAGCATTACTCTCAATGGAGAACCATCTATTGAGCAAATAGACAAACTTACTTGCCTTGACGAACAAGCCAAGATATCACAGGTCTTTGACTGCGAGGGCTTATTGCTATGCATATTGAAAGAAGATTCTAGGTTTGTGGTTCTGAATCCGTATTTGGGGCAAACAAGGTGGATCGAACCAAGATATTCCCATCGTCCATACGGATGTGACAGGTTTAGTTATGCTCTCGGATACGTGAATAAGGAATCTTGTCGTAGCTACAAGTTATTGAGGTTTATAGATTATTTCTACAATGTACCCGAAAAGCAGTTCTTTTGGTATGAAATCTATGATTTTGACTCTGATTTATGGACGACTCTTGATATATCTCCACATTGGCGTATAGCATTTTGTAACCCTGGCGTTTCTCTTAAGGGAAACACTTACTTTTGTGCTGCTGAAAGGAACGTAGATGTAAAAGAAGTCTTGGCCAATAGCTTAATCTGTTTCGATTTTACAAGTGAGAGATTTGGTCCGCTTCTGCCTCTGCCGTTTAGTGGTGGGTATCATGACTATACGACATTGTCTTGTGTTAGAGAAGAGAAGCTTGCGCTTTTACTTCAGCACGATGAATCAAATCCATATGAGCTTGACTTATGGATTACGACTAAGATTGAGACTGAAGAGGTGTTGTGGAGCAAGTTCGTGAGAGTGGCAACAGCTGGATTTGATAGTTATGTTCCATTTATAGGTGGAAGTTTCTTCATTGACGAGGAGAAGAAAGTCGCCATTGGTTTTGATGATGGGGATAATCGCCACAAAATTAACATCATTGGAGAGGCTGGATACTTCAGGGCATTGGATCTCGTTGGAGATTTTGGAGACCAAGAATGTAAGACAGATCTGTGCTCTTATGTTCCAAGTTTAGTGGAAATCAAGCAACCTGAAGGAGGAGAAAGGGAACAAGAAAGCGAATTGGAGAAGCTTCGATATGATGAAAACATGTCGAGACTTGTCTTACTTGAAGGGAATCAATGAGCAATATGCTGGAGGAGGCAAAAGGAGATAATGAGATGATGAAGACTCAATTCACAATGCCTTATGTATGTCTTTCATTTACATATTCTTCTCTTTGAACAAGATTACTCTATTATCATAAATTCTGGTTTCTTCCGAGCTTATATGCATCATGATGAAGATTTGCTAAGATGTTTTAAAACAAAATATAGTAACAGTGAAATCTATTTCTTTTCTCATATGTACAACAAATAGATATATTGGCTGCGCTATGATTTACAGAGCTGAGATTGTAGAATTAGTAACATATCTGAAGAATCTTGGAAACAGAACAATGAAAGAAACATAAAGGGACCTTAGTCTTAGCTTGTCTTGGTCTTGGCTTTGTCTAAGGCAAATTCTACTCTTAAGTCCTTTCGTAAGATCCCGTGATTGGATGATTGTATCACGTGTATTCTCTAATTCGTCTAGAGTATGCTCATACGAATGAAATGATTCTTGCTTTTTCATACCAATGAAAAGACTCGATGACGGGAACATTGATGCCAACGAGTTATTCCAATAGATTGCGTAGAATGTTAAGAGAAGGTTTGCTCATAAAGATGTTGACGGTGACGAGGTGAGTTGTGCCGTTGAAAATAAATCAAACTGTAAAATGAGTTTGTACAACATAACATAAGAAAGAGTGAAAGACATCCTTCAGATGCTTTATCTCTACTAATGTGATCAATCAAATCTCACAAAAAAATGTTTGAATTGTAAAATGAGTTTGTAGCACATAAGAAATACAATGAAAAGAGTACAAGCTTTAGATCTATATCTCACAGAATCAGATCAGACCTCAACATGTCTTTCTTTTTCCTATACACATTAAAGAAAAGAAATCGTTGTGGAAACGAAATTATATGTTGCATCGGTCATACCCCGAGAACCAAGAGGGTTCAGCGAGCTTTGACAACTCTTCGTCTTTCTTGTAAAATGGCTCGAACTCTTCTCTCCATTGGTGATCACCATCACTAGCTGATGGTTCATCATATTTAGCCATATCATCGCCATTACAAGAAGCTTGCAAAGATTCTATGGGATTTTGTGGCTCTGTTATTTGTTGTTGGTTTACAGTGCTGATTTCGGTTTCGTATTTCCTCTTCAACTTGTCCATCTTTTTATATGCTTCTGCTGCTTCATACTCTGCATCCATTGCCCTTTTCTGTGGATACACAAGCAAAAAAGGTTAATAAGAGTCAAATGATAGGATTAATAACTGAAAAATGGCAGGTATGGGTACCTGTGCAAATGTCAATCCTTCTTCAGCTTCTTTAAGTCGAACAAGTAACTCTCCTGCTGCTTGAACAGCTTCAGCAGTATCTCTTAGTTGTGACTGGAGACTCTTGTTTTCATCCCTGAAGTATTGTGCCTCCTTCTCTCTTTGCACTTTCAAAGCTGAAATTTCTGCTGCAAGTGCGTTTATGAATCTAGACTCAGCTCCCTTGACTCCTGCTCTGGCTGCTGCTTTTTTTACATCATCTATTCCTTCTCGAATCCTCCTATGCCTTGCAAGCAATTGGATATGCTTCTCTTCCAGGTCTGCATACTGTTCAATCATCCGTGCATGACCCTGCATCGCCATTTGCATTGCTTCTGTCAACTCTTCAGCACACCTTTTCTCTGTATCCAGTTCACGTTTCTGCTTTTCCATTAGCAATCTATTGGTATCAAGCTCGGTTCTCAATTCTTCAGCAAGAGAGATCCAGTTGCTCTCTGCTTCAGTCCAACGAAGTCTTTCCTGTTCTAGTGTCTTCTCAGGACACTCGTCCACTGACTCAGGAATGGTATTAAGTGGTGAAGCTTGGTCACGGTCACAAGCGTATGTTAGCTTAAGCAGGGAACCTCTTTTCCGAGCAGATGTAAGAGAAGAGTCAGTGTAACATTGTAGCTGCGCCTTTAAATCGTGAATCTCTTCTAATAATACTTCCCTTTCTCCCATATCACCGTAGAAGTTCTTGAAACTTTCGAGCTCTTCTTGCACTCGTTTCAACTCAATCCTCGTCTGCAATACTTCGGGGTGGTTCTCATACATGTCCTTCAGAAGCTGCACAAATTATATGTAAGAAAACATTTCTGCAATGATTCAATAAACTTCTAAATAATGGTAACCCAAAAATTTACCTTATGCTCATGCATGAGTGATGCAAATTCTTCATCCAGGAAATCATCTTTAGACAACACGCCATCCATGAGACTTTCAAGTCGAGCAATCTTGTCCTCCCTTGTTTGTCCTATGATGGCATTGCACTCTCTCTCATGCTTGTACTGTTGCACCTGTTTAATTTCCCATAGATGATTAAAAAGGTTTCCTTTATACGTCGAAAGTAGAGAAGCTGACCAACAGAACATAAGCAAGGATCATACCAGCCGATTAAGCTGTGATATTTCAGATGCTTGCTTAGTGCAGACCTCCTCCATAGCCATTTCTCTTCTGATAGACCCTGCTAGAACCTTTTCCACTGCCTGTAAGGTGCAGAAAACTCATATCATATTATTACACTATACAATTGTGGAACGAAATGCTCCAAATGAAAGCCACAATTCTTACTTTAGGAACTTGGAAATTGGACTTTTCTGAACCTTCTGAGTTGTCAATAGGTACTAACTGAAGATTAGAAGTGTCACTTATTTCTTGGGCATCACATTCTGCTCTGCATTTACATTTACTGCACAGTACTTCTTTGGGGTTGTCTTCCGCTACAGTATCACCTTCTGGATAAGTTTGAACACCTACATCAGCCTTACTTAAAACGGTTGAGGGCTTGCATTCTAGAGCTTTGTAGGACAATCTGAATGTCGATCGTCTATGAGCTGTACTCTGCCGGTATGAGTCAAGAAGTTTCATGCCTCTGTGAAGGCTAGCTGCCAATTGCCTAGTTGGCACAGGAAAAGCTTCACTTTTCTTTGTAGACAAAGCACTATATAGGTTTAACACCTCTGTGGACATAGCCGGAGAAGGTTCCACAACTTCTTTAGTTAACTGGTTTGCTCTCTCAATATTTTTTTGTGATGCGGTGGACATTGATGTTGTCCTCAAGCTTTTCCTGCTATTTCTGATCTTAGGAGAGGCGCTCTCAGTGGGAGGTATTAGTCCAGGAGAAACACTTACTGGAGATATGCTAAGGCAAGGCGACACAGGATTTACTGAGACCTGTTCTGTATCATTTGATGTATCAGATACTGCTACAATTGCAGAAACATCAGCTTCTAGAACCAAGTCTTGGCATGATGGAATGTTCTCCGCCTTGCTTGGTGAATTTCCCTGGTTTGTGTCGCTAATACAAGAATTAAGAGAATTTTTTATGGAAGCAGGCTGTACACTAGAACCATCATCCATAGTTTGCACGGCCGCTTTGATCTGATTTGTTGAGATTCTAGTTTCTGCCACAGATAACGCATTATCAGTCTCTGACCCATTGTTCTCAGTTTGGCAACACGCATCCTCCATGTTAACATCTGTATCTTCAGGAAACTGCTTTCCTGTAGATGATTGGACATCAGATGATCTAAGGTGGGAGGTTTTGTAAGATTCATCCTTCAGGGCCACTGTCTGTAATGATGAATTTATTTTCTCTACTCTGCTCATGTCCTGATTGTTGTCCTCGGCAGGTGGAGACAAGCCCATTTGAGCACAAAGCCTTTCAACAGCCTCCTCGTCAATTTCCATCTCAGTGTCCCCATCATCATCTCCATTTGGTAATGACTTTGGATGACCCAGGCCAAAGCTTCTTAACAAACTCAGACTTCTACGCGCATTCCAGGAAGTGGTATAAGCTGCATTTGGGTTTGTTGGGTTGTTTCCATTATTATCCTTCACCCTTTGCAGTTCATCCTGCACAGTTTACATTAGAAGTTACATTCACGTTTGTTTTTGCATTTTGTGAGATAATCCAAAGGATGCATACCCTCAGCTGGCGTATCACTTCCCGCAAGAAATTTACATCATCTTGCATTACTTCATTGACAACTGCCTTGTTCTGTATCGCCTTTGCACGCTGAGCAAATCTCAAGGTGCTGAAGGTTTCATTCCTACAACTGCAATTTAAGAGGCAATTTTATTTAGCAGAAAAGTGGAGGGAGGGTAGAATATATTCTGAAAGAGAAATTCGGGTTCTTGATTAACCTTTGCGAGGGAGAAACTGCACAAACCATAGCTAATTTTGCATTCCCACCTAGAGACTCTTGTAATAGAAATGTCAACCTGGAATCTCTATAGGGTATATGTCTTTGCTTCCCTGTTTGTGAAATTTCTGCTAGAATGTTGATCAAATTCCTGTAAGTAAAAAAACTTGTAAGGTTTACACTTATCTACAATTCTCAGTTTCAGACTGTATAGCATCACATCTGTAAAATGTCAAGATAAAACATCTGGCATAAAAGTCAGATTACGACCATCATTTTCAAATTGTGTTTTCTTTTCCCCTAAGTTTTAGTCCAGATTCAAATGCATGCTATACTCTCGATACAAAAACAAAAATGCAGTATTAACTGGAAAAGAAAATCAATAAGCAGCCTATAATGTAGACTATTCTGATCTTACCCAAGTTGGGAAAGTGATCGATTTATATTCCCAGCTTCCTTCAAACGATCGCCTGCTGCACCGGTTAATTTTTGCCTTTCTGAACCAGCCAGATCAACAAGATTGATTCTACTTGTTTTGAAGCTGCTTAAACCATCTGCAACACTCTGTTACATATTACATTCAAATACAGTTAGATATAGATTACATCACCTCATAATAACATTAACAAAATAATTTCTACACTAGTAAGCATCTGAGCCTCATAGCCTATTCTTAAAACCTTGCAGTTGCTAGTTAATAGGAACAATAAAATAAAGGAGAACAGCCCACCTTGCAGTGGGACTCGACAACACAAGTAAATACACAATGCGACCTTGAACTCTCTGCGTTTACACTTGTTGCACCAGTCCTTCTGTTTGCCAAGCCCTGCACAAGTTTCAGATGGAAGCTTACTATTGAAGATACACATTTCAAATCAAAGCAACAAAATAGTTCAGATCGACTATACTGCAAGACTTTGACACAATTTGGCGGTATATAGATCTTATTCCAATACACAGTATTTGCAATTCCTGT